GTTGTTACCGACATCTGGTGAAAATTTCATGTCATTAGCACCTCTAGTAATATATTTACTGAGAAAAATAATGACGTGTTCAATACTTATTTTACCCGCTGTATATGATTACAAAAATTATAATTCATTCATTGCTTTCAAAGCTAAAAAGCTGCTGTCTCTTTTTAATACACCATCATATCACAGCAGCTCACTGTGATGTTTTTCTTTTCTCTCATTTTTTTGTGTTTTTTTTAATTCAGCCCCTACCTCACTTCCTGGCTAACGGCAGAGTTGTCCACTACGACGTCACCTGTCAAACAGAAAAGGCTTTGGTTCTTAGCAATCGTGGGAGCTGCCAAGATTTGCTCGATGTAAACACTTCCTGCAGCTTGTACCTGCCCTCTGAACGCTGTTCCTGCGCTCTGACGGCCTCCACCTCTGCAGGGCCCTCGCCACCAGCTCGGATCTGGATCCCTGTTTCCTCTGAGCCAGGTGGAGGCTGAACACTTCTACTTGTCATGACATTTAGACACTGCCACGAATGTTCTTTTGTTCCATCATCAATTCAGACAGACTAGAAAGGAGCAGATGTCGCCTTGTTTTGTAAGCGTCTGTGCTTAGTTTGCACCTGTCTAACAAAACAAAGATGGCTGCTTTGTGCAGAAAGAAGTCATCTGCTCTGAGTCAGACTTTTCCACTTTTTTCATTGACATTTTTTATTTTACTTCAAAGGTACCAAGAACAGAATTGTTGTGCTGTCATTGTTGTTTGAGCTACAGCTGCATTGCCTTTGTTTTTTTTTTAAAGAAATTTATTCATTTCTTTTGTAACACAAAATAACAAAGTACAAAAACATGCAATCAAAATAAAATCAAACAAAATGAAAGGCAGCAGAAGAAGAATAAATCTTATAATATCTGCCCCTTTTAAACCCAAAATATTTTCAAAAGAAAAGTAAATTACAACAAAAATTAAAACAACTGAAAACGCACAAAAAACTAAATTTAAAACACCAACTCAACAACAATTTGCATGAATTCACTCACACTTCTCAATATTTCTTCAGAATACTAGATTTTATTATTCTCTCAATATATACAAAGATCTGGCATTTTTAACATCATCGTCCATGCTGTTCCACAAACTTATTCCCTGGATTAAAGTGGATCGCTCCTTCAGGCTCGTACAAACCAGGGTTTCACAAACATTTTGATTCCCTTAAGATAATAACAGCTCTCTCTTTTAACAAAATTTAATTGAATGTTGGACAGTAACACACCTTTATGAGCTCTGTACATTAACAGTAAAATATTATAATCAACCAAATCATAGCATTTTAATAATTGAAATTCATTAAACAATATATTCGATGTCCTGATGCATCTCAGTAATCCAGGTAAAAAATCAAAAAGAAAAAAATTGTACAGGTCTTCTGGACGGGTTCTTCTCTAATGAAACATATATATTAATATAATATATAATATATTCGATGGATGGCTGTAATTTTTTCTAGCAATGATTCTTAGTGCTCTTTTCTGTCAAATAAAAATAGGATTTGTGATAGTTTTGCAAGTTTTACCCAGACTTCAATACAGTAAATTAAATGTGGAACAATTATAGCGTTATACAACATAAACAGTGCTTTATCATTGAACAGTTCTCTTACTTTGTACAGGACACCAATAGATTTGGCCATTTTTGTTTTTAAACCATTTATATAATTTTTCCATGTCAGTTTTTCATCAGTAATGACACCTAGAAACTTCACTTCACTGACTCTAAAGATCTCAACATCATCAATTTTAAATGAAACATCTATAGTTTTCTTACTGTTACTGAAAATCATATAATTTGTCTTGTCCAAGTTTAATAATAATTTGTTTAGTTATCATCTCCAACATTTGTTCTATATCTTTACCGGAACAAAAAAAATGTTGTATCATCAACAAATAGAACACACCCAAAAAGTCTCGGCACATCGACCAAATCATTCACATACAAAATAAATAACTTAGGTCCGAGAATGGAACCCTGTGGCACTCCACATGAGATGTAACAAAACTCAGATCTTACATTATTTATTTGGACAAATTGTTTTCTATCTTCCAAATAACTAGATACCCACTGTAATTCAGGCCCTCTAATACCACAGTTATTTAGTTTTTCAAAAAGAATACTGTGATTAATAGTATCAAATGCTTTTTTTAAATCAACAAAAATACATTACATACATTACTGTTTTTGATCAGCAGCAGTTATTATATATTCTATTAATTCAATGAGAGCCATCGACGTAGAATTTTTTGGTCTAAACCCATACTGACTGTTACTTAATATATTCTGCTTATCAATGAATTTGTCCAATCTTATTTTCTTTTATTTTATTTTTTGTTTTCTCTTCCTATCTGCTCTCAGAGCTACCAGCCCCGAGTCACATCGCTGCCTCTCCCCTGGACGACTTCAGCGTAGAGGTTCAGTGGACGTGGCCCCAGAATCGATCGGGTTTGACCGGGTTTGCTGTGGAGTGGTTTGCTGTCAGGGAGGAGCACAGCAGCGTCCTTCACTGGGAGAAGCTGAATAGTTCCTGCACAAAGCTGCTCATCTCCGGTAACCCAACGGATTCTGCTGCTGTGAACTGTTACATCTTTTCATTCACAGTGGAATATGGTGAACACATCAAACTGTACACTTTTTGGGGATAAAATTAAGTATTGTTGAATTTAAGGACAATTTTCAAAACGGTTGGGATAGAAGCATCAAAAGGCTGTAAGGTAAGTGGTACAAATAAGAAAAAGCTGAAGGAGAATTTTGCAGCTGATTAGCTTAGTTAGCATCAGGTCAGTAAGAGGTCTGAGCATTTAAAGAGCATTTTAGAGAGGCTGAATCTCTCATTAGTAAAGATGGGCAGAGGGTTCACCAGTCTGTGGAAACTGCATCTAATGATAATGAAAAATAATTGAATAAAGTTCCTCAACAAAAAATACAGAAGACTTTGAATATCTCATAATCTACAATTCTTAATATAAACAAAAATATTTGAAGAATCTGTAGAAATCTTTGAGCTCAAAGGAAAAAAACTGAGTTTTAGTCAATATTGGATTCTTCTGGTCTTTTGATCTTTGGTCTGATTCTGTTCTGGACTCAGGAACTTCCACAAACCATTATCTCTAAACACAGTTCCCCGTGCCATACACATATGCAGGTTGCCTCTCTGATGGTATGGGGCTGCATTAGTGCCTATAACATGGGTAGTCTACACATCTGGAATGACACCATCAATGCTGTAAAATACTGTATATTCAGGTTTTAGAACAACACATGGTCCAATTCAGACAAAAAAAGTCCATCAGAAATCAAGGATTTTATCAGTCTTGATTTTTGATGGATTTTTAACAGGATTTTTGAAGAATTGATGTTTTTTTGATGGAGCTACGCTCCTAATGAAACAACATTCTGCTCTCCTCAGTTTCTACATGCTAACAGACTGTTGGTAAAAGAGGAGGCGATGCATGAACCTGTCCCAACTTTTCTTTTTAAAATGTGTTGCAAGTCATTGCATTTTACTTTTATTTTCATTTTCTGCAATATTGCGAATTTTCAATACTGCCATTAAATTGTATTTTTTTTTTTTTTTTGATAAACATAAATCGTTTTTGTCTTCTTTTTTTGTCAGAGGGACTGAAGCCGATGGAGCGTTACACTGTTTCTGTCAGAGCTCTGTACGGTGAACAAGGAGCAGGAGAACAGCGAACACTCCACATTTATACACGGCAGGGAGGTATGTGAGCCGTACAGGGATCTTTGTATTTAATCATATGCATATTAAACTAAAATGTAGCTTTTACTCATCAACAGACAGTTTGTGGCGTTGTCTACAAACATTATCCACAGAAATAGTGCATTTGTTTTTATTTGAATTTGGTGACCATTTGGTGCTTTAAATTGTTGAATTTTTGCACCCCGCATATAAATATGTATGTTATGTTGAAATACACTACATTTATTAATGAGCCTACGTTTATTTTAAGCATCAGTGAAAGCCAGTTGCTCACTCAGCTTTTGCTCCACAGTGCCCTCTGCTGGTCCTTATGTGAAGGTGCAGCAAATCTCTGGCAGCTCAGTGGAGCTTGTTTGGAGTCCTCTGCCTGTGGAGCTGCTTAATGGTTTAATCTGCAGCTACACCCTCTATTACAGCTCCAAAAACCAACCAGCAACAAGTGAGCTATTTACAAATATTTATATGTTTTTTAAACATAATGGCTCATGAATTCAAGAAAAGTATCCTGATGCATCTCAGTAATCCAGGTAAAAAATCAAAAAGAAAAAAATTGTATAGGTCTTCTGGACGGGTTCTTCTCTAATGAAATGTTTCGTCTCTCCTCCAAGAGACTTCTTCAGTCTGAGAGTTTCAGGCAAAATTCAGGCTTTTAAGCCCWGCCTCCATGTGACTGATACTCACATCACATGGCTATCGTTGAAACCTAATTAACACCTATTGTTAACAGGGGGTGGAGTGATACTGGCAATAGCAGCAGGATTCCAGGCAACCTTCAGGTGAAAATGAAGACCCCAAACCCAGACCCAAACCAGTGGTTATTCCATATGTTGCGGGTGTTTCGGAGAAACTGAGATGTTTATTTTCTAAACATGATGTCCCAGTGGCTTTCAAACGCCAAAACACATTACGGCAAAGGCTGGTTCACCCCGAAGATCCGGTGCCCCGGCACAAACAGAGCAATGTTGTATATGCTGTTAAGTGCCAGGAGGACTGCGACCAGTTATACATCGGGGAAACAAAGCAGCCACTGTTCAAAAGAATGTCCCAACACAGACGAGCTACATCTAATGGCCAGAGCTCTGCAGTTTTCACTCATTTACAGGCCAGCGATCACTCTTTCAGAGATGAGGATGTTCTCATTCTTGATAGAGAGGAACGTTGGTTTGAGAGAGGAGTAAAAGAAGCCATTTTTGTGAAGAAAGACCGTCCATCATTAAACAGAGGTGGAGGCCTCCGTTTTCAGTTGTCCCCCTCCTACAGTGCTGCTATTGCCAGTATCACTCCACCCCCTGTTAACAATAGGTGTTAATTAGGTGTCAACGATAGCCATGTGATGTGAGTGTCAGTCACATGGAGGCAGGGCTTAAAAGCCTGAATTTTGCCTGAAACTCTCAGACTGAAGAAGTCTCTTGGAGAAGAGATGAAACGTTTCATTAGAGAAGAACCCGTCCAGAAGACCTACACAATTTTTTTTCTTTTTAATTCAAGAAAAGTTTGTTGAAATATGAAACGTCTTTCTCGGGATCAGAGCTAAACAAGACTTTAGCATCAACTTACCAAAAATAAATGTATGTATAGGTATCAGAAGACATTTTTTAGGTATTTTTATTAACACCCAATCACTGAAAAGCAAAGGTGGGTAGTAATGTTTTTGCTCATGTGTGTTTGTCTGTTAGCAAAATATCTTGTGAGCCACTGGGGAAATTTTAATGAAGTAAATATATAAAAAAATACATGTACATCCACAACTGATTAAGTTTTAGAATCAACACAATTCAAGATGGCTGCCACAGCCTTGAAAACACAAAAATGACTCTGACTCATCTTATGGATCATTTTCTGAGGACTAACAGTTACAAGATCTTCAGCATTTTGAGTTCACTTTTCTGTCTTTTAACAAAAAATATTTCATGAACCACTGGATGGATTTAAAGCAGAGGTTCTCAAACTGGGGTCCCAGGAACCCCAGGGGTCTGCGAGAGTTATCTTGGGGGTCCTCAAAAAATTTCACTAAATTGTTACTTTTGGTTTTTATTTTTAAAAATGCATGGAGAACAAAGAATGAATAAAACAAGCATAATAAACTTAATAAAAATATATATTCCCATGGCATTTAGGGGTTGAAATGACAATAAATTATCCTTTAAAACAACATGGGGTTTATGAGGGGGTCCCTGGAATTTTTTTCGCCCTTGTAAGTGGTCCCCAGACCCAAATGGCTTGAGAACCCCTGATTTAAAGGAATCATTGTGTGAACATCTACAACTGTTTAGTCAGCACAGCTAATCAAACATGATTATAACTCAGTTTTTTTATATTGAGCTAAAAATTCTTGTCATTTTGGATTTGTCGTCTTTCCCCGGGTCCCATCTGGTTAGCTTGATTTTATTTCTTCCCTTGTGTCTTCAGGCATCATCATTCCTGGTTCTATTCACCGCCACACTCTGGAGAACATGCCACCAGGCATATATGACATCTTCATGCGGGCCAGCACTGTTGCTGGGACCGGTCCAGTTGGGAGCCTGGCTAATGTGAACATTGGTAAATTTAAAAAAAAGACACACCCTCAAACACGCACTGTTCATCCAGAGTGATTGGTGAGTCCTAAACTTAACTTTGTGTGTGTGAAGGCTCTGAGGACGTCTCCATTGTGTTATACGTTGTTGTTCCACTCATCTTCACTCCACTGGTGATGATGCTGCTGGCCTGCCTGACCCAGAGCAAAATGTAAGATCTCTGTTTGTCTCATTTAAACACATATAAACCTGTTTTATGTACTTAAAAAAGACAATTAAATATGAATGTTTTGTTTTTGTGGTATTCAGTGTGAAGCAGAAATGGGGTCAGGGCGTACCTGACCCATCCAACAGCACCTTGTCCCGCTGGACTCCTGACACCAGCTTAGAGGTAAGATTATGAAGCTTTTAGTTTGTAACAGAAACTGAGTTTTGAGTTTCAAATCTTGTGACAGCAAACCTTGTGAACTCTTCCAAATGCTCAGTACTTCACTATGAGCTCACAAAAACAGAAGGCAAGAACTGAGGTATATTCAGAAACTGTTTATTTTAAATAAAATACATTTCTTGACATGTACTTGTGTGAAACTCAGCTTTTAAAACTTTAGATTTAGTCATACAAAAGAAATGATTTGGATTATTTGCATCTTTTCATTTTCCTAACATGCCAAGTTTTCTTTTTTTTCCCCCTAACTAAATCGTGTTAAAATTGCTTTACTTTTTGCACAATTATTTTTTTATATTTCAAAAGCACTTCATGCATTTTGTGTGTTTGGATCTAATAAACCGTATTTTTGGACTATAAGCCGCACCCACCATTTTTTTTAAAAAAAACGCGCGAACATCAACATATAAGCCACACCAGAATATAAGCCGCACCCCCCCACCCCCCATCAGTAAAAACAAAAACAAAACAGTACACCCAAAACTGTGGTCAAAAAAGTGAATTCAACATCACATTTATTTTTAAGAAAAAGGTTGGCAAGTTCACCGGTACAAAATAATAATAATAATAATAATAACAATAAACTCTCGGGGAAAAAAGGTGAGAGGCCTGGAATTAAAACATAAAAAGCAAACCTTTAGAAATTACCGGTAAAGTTCGGAGGAATACGGTTCATTTAACTGACCTTATTTTGGTAGTTTTCTTTAACCATTTCTGGTCCAACAAAACGTCTCATTCATCGTCCTCCGGCGCACTGAAACCATCGAAGTCCTCTTCAGTGTCGGAGTTAAACAAGCTGAGAAAAGCTGCGTCACACAGCAGTATCTGTTCAGTGTTGCTTTCTGTGTCACTGTCCTCCCGGGCTGGCTCTGAAGCTGTGGTGGGAAAGCCCTCCCGCTGCATGGGATTCCTTCCCCGGGGAGTGCAATGAGGAAAGAAAAAGTCTGCGGCTCTTCACTCGACGTTTATCCACAACTGGTCCCGAATTAAGCTCCAAAGTTTTTATCAGTCAGATTCCACCGTGAAAAACGTCTGTTTTATCCCCTTTTATGAGTTTTTGGCCATTGACTATCTTTAAATCGCTGCTTCCTGGTGCAACAGTTGGCTCTGGAAGCGATCGCTTTTTTCTTTTTTTTTTCCTTTCTTTTTTTGAAGAGTGGTTGAAGCAAATGGAGCATAAGAGCCCCCTGGTGGCTGAAGAAAAAAATCTGTGTAAAAGCTGCACCGGTCTATAAGCCGCTTGGTTCAAAGTTCAGGAAAAAAGTCGCGGCTTATAGTCCAAAAAATACAGAAAATACTTTTTTAAAGTTAATTCACCGCTTTAAGCAAATTGAGGTATGCAGCTTTTTTAAGTAGCAGCTGATTTTTTAGTAATTTAGTTTAAAAAAATTTGAAGTCTTTCTCACTTAAATTGTCTGTAGCCAAAATAATTTTCCCATAGCTCAAATACAGAAAAACATAGCCAAAAACCACAATGACAATACAATATGAAAGAATAGAGTGTAGAGATATAGATGATAGATATGAGAATAAATGAAAGAAGATCAAATGACAGGAGATTAAATGAGGTGAAATAACATGAAGCAATATAAGAAATAGAAAATACTATAAAACAGTACGATATGAGACAAGATAAGACAATGCAGTACTACACATTATAGTACAACAGGAAATAATTTGATAAAATACAAAAAATACGTTGGATAAGACAAGCAGAGAAACAATACACAAAAGTACAATATGAGACAAAAAGATGAAACAGTACAACACAGTAGAATACACAACATATGAGACAAAATGAAACAAAACAATACTTTCTGACTTAACACAGTACAATATACAGTATGAGACAATACAATGCAGTACAAAAGTAAAGAAAGTTATTTAACTGGTGGCTCTTGAGTGACTTCAGTCTGGCCCACCAATGAGTTCTTTAGAATTAAAAAGTTCATTTATTTTTAATTATTTTTACTTCATTTACTGTAAAAATATATTTTACATCAATTTCAAATTTTAAAATTCTGATTCAATGCAGCACAATAAACAAATGTAAAAGGTAAAAGATAATACATGTTCTTTTACATGACGTTTCCCTTCACCAAAGCCCAGCAATGAACAACACTGCAGTACAATAACCGCTTAATACAGTATAATATGAGACATTACAGTAAAAAAAATCTAACACAGTCCAGTAGTATGAGACAAGATGATGCAAAAAAAAAAAAATCAGTAGAGTATGAGACAAGACCCAACAACCCAACATTTGAGACGATACCATATAATATACAACTTTTTCTTTAATACTTGGTGATAAGGACCTATTAAATAAAATCTGGACACTATTATTA